GTTAAAAATAAAAACTATAGAAGGATGTAACATCTGCCTCCAAAAAAAATGGAGGAAGCTAAATGTTAAATATTCAATTGTATGATAATGAGTAAGAACGACAAAAATAAAGAAAAATATCATTCATTTCATTTTTCGGCATTGAAAAAGTAACAGTCATATATAATTTATTGGAAAATATTTGTTTGGTATTTTTTTTTCTTTTCGATTTAAGAACCATTATTCATAAGTGTAAGATGAAGATTTTTGCTTTTTTTTGTCGAGAGCATTTTTTTCTATTTTCAAGAGTCATTGAAAATCTTAACTGAATCGCCGCGCTATGCGAGCACAAATATATATATATATATATATATAAGCATAGAGAGATGCGAAATGCAAATGTGATGCATGCACTTAAAACTATACATGGACGTATCGTCATGGGAAATAGCTATCTACGTTGTATGCGAACAGAAAACAAATGACAATTTTGAAACTCTTGTTTTGTTCTCGTGCTATTCTCATTTAATAGAATTAATGGTATACTGTTAGAAACAACGCTGTTGTTGAACTCATTAGATGGATCGTACTTAATTGCTTTTTAATTTTCTATTGTACAGCTTACGCCATGTGTACATATATATACATTTATTTCTACATATAATAAATACGACTTCATTTTCTCGTTTACTTATTTTTATTCATATAATACTGTCAACAATAAAATTGAAGTCATTGAAATGTTTCTTTATAAGTGTGAGTATACTCAAATGTATGATGTAATGAAAATGAAAACTATATCAAATAATGTATCAACTATATGTACATCTATTTCATAATTGTCCAGAATCACGAGAGTTCAACGTATACTTATGGTTTGATAACAAAGGAAATATATATATATATATATATATATATATACACATATATATGTATATAATGTGCTCTTATTCATTCTCACTTGATGATGACGATATGGATTGTTAGGTTCAGATAATGAAGAGAATTTGATTGTTGATGGACGTGTTATTGATACTTGAAGACTTTCTTTTGTTAATACCGAGGACATGAATATACGACGAATTTATTCTAGTAGTTACTTAGCCAGAATACATGACAATAGCTGTGTTATTATCTTTAGAAGCGTAACAAGAGACGATCTGACATGTAAAAAGAAACTAGTTGATAGAAAACAAGTAGTTTTCTCTCTATCGTTCTGTTCTTTCACAGTTTCGATAGCGATTCTGCTTAACGCATTGAAAGATCGTTAATAATCATCTGTCATCATCTGTTGGCATCAGACAAGTACAGGCTAGTCACAGGACCATTCTTTTTATTCTTCATTTTTTTTGCTTCTTCTTTTCTCATTTTCTTCATATATTTCTTTTTTTCTTTGCTCCAAAACTTCCCAGTTGGATTAGACAACAACTGTTCGTAAGACCTTAGGAGCCATGTTCCGGTTGCTCCGAACAGTAACTAAAGCTAAAAATTGAAATGGGAACAAGAAAAATGAGGCACGATGATGACGATTACAATACAATGTGATGATGACGAGAAAAAATAATGACTATAGTGAGCAATAACTCACATAATTTCATTACAAGCTCTTTCTTTATTATTGTGTTAGTCAGGAGAAAACCGTCTATCGATCGCACGATCATTTCTCTTCTATTCAATTAGATATAGAAAAAAAAAACTGCAAGGCACGAGGCCAAAAAAGTCTATTTTACTCAGAAATAAAAATATTCTGATCTATACACCTCACGATATATAGAATCAATTACAGCAGTAGCACACTTTGAATTACAAAAAAAAAAGGAAACTCATTGAAACAAGTCCAAATTCCATCACAGAAACTATAACCAGAGACATGCGATGAGATACAAATGTATGCATGTATACATTAAATTAGCTATCATCACTTACTGTCGATGAGCTTGATTTCGAGTGGGTCATCTATGCGAATAAGTAGAATAAACTGCCGCGTCGATATTTTAAATGCAGCAAAAATGATCGACAATGTCGTGTATGCACATTTCATTGAGTATAGACAATTTAGTTCTTTTTTTATACTTAATGAAAGTAAAAGCGAATAGAGAGAACGAGAGACAAAGAGAAAAATGGACTGGCATATGTACGTATGTGTTGAGCTACGGTCGTTCTCTCGTTTCTTTCTGTGTCAGTATTATTTACTGGGATGTCCTCGCTTGCCAATTCTCTCTCTCTCTTTATCGTTGTGTCCTCGCCTATCGTATAGCAAAACGAAGCGAATATACTTCTTGCCTTGCCAATAATCCTTCTCGTTATAGTACATATGATGTAGCGAACAACAGAACACGATATAGAACTCGATGTATACGAATATACTCACATGCAGACAAGATCATGTCATAGAACAACATTTATCCACAAAGACCTCAAGAAAAAAAACTGACTCATCTGGAAAAAGGGCAACAATGATTTTTCTTGACGTAAAAAGACAACAAGACACAAACATCTAATTGGAGGGCCCCACATTTATATACAATCATCACACGCGAAGGACTATCATCAATCAATCAATCAACTAATATCTTGCATTTATACATATATATGCCTATGTACTCGTATACTGTCCGTAGCAATTCAATCTACATATTGACAATTGTCAATAACAATATAGAATAACAATATAAGCATAACATACATATGGTAGATATATTAATTAGACAACTATTCAATCTATTATAAACTCCGGCTATCTATAGAATTTCAAGTATTATTTCCGATGTAATCGGAGATAATCATATCTAATTAGTAGACAAAAGCTGTTAGTGCAATCCATCTGGGATTAAAAATATGAAACACGACATAATCACTGCAGAAAATTACATAGAGATAGTGTATTCAAGGGAGTCCTCTGTTGATTTTGAGAGACAGCTCGTTCGCCGCTACCAGTGATAATCTGCGCAAGGCTGGAAAAGCGTCTCTGATGCTCTGTGCTAGGTCTGAAGACCGTCTGTCACGGTCCGTGATGGGTAAATTACCTGTCGGTAACGGTCTGTGGGGGGGGGGGGGGGGGGGGGGCGGGGGGGGGGGCGCGAGGGATGGGTGCAAAATTTCTACCCTAAACACTTCAACACTCCTTTCAGATCGTGCTTCACAGAAAAAGAAAACCATGAAATAAATGATTGAATATTTGTGCATCTATTTTAGTTATTTTATTTGTTAATTCTATTATTTTATCTCGTTTTAATTTTTATAAAAACAAAAATGTCAGAAATGACATAGTCAGACTCGATTATAGACATTTGATTAAAGCCAGTTGTTTCCTTGTTCCTTTGTTCCAGTACAAGTAAAAACTGCATAGGAAATCGATCTAACAGCGATAATACAAAAAATCTATGAGAAAAACTTTGTTTTATATGAGAAAAAAAAATTTGTATGAATTATAAATATTAACTGAAAAAAAGAAGTATTGAAAATATTCATAATAGAATTTTTTTTCCAAGGTAATTTTTTTTTATTGTCTGAAAGAGAAACTGAAAATTACTCTGAGCAAATAAATAACTCGTGTTCCGTCATATTCACTATAAAATTTTATTATGCACATTTTTAATTGTTCATTTTGTATTTAAAACAAAAGGAAAAATGGTTTTATAAAAATTTAATTTTCTTGCCAATCTGTGTTTTCGATAATATCTAATAATGTAAAAATTTAATTTAGAGATATACTAGAGAGTAAATCAATTTTTTACGAATAAGTAAAAATTTACACTTCTGTCTTATCAAGGTTGTTATTATAATAACAAAAGCGCTTTTCAAGTACACGATGATTTACTTTGAAAATATACTTTTAGTTTGAGTTTTGAATGATATTTATTCAATTGAAATGAATCGTATAATACTAAAATAAAATATTTTTCTTATGCTGTTATTCAAGCTGATGTAAGTAAGAACATATGAGACTTTTATATATCCAAGGAGAATAGAATATCAGACGATAAACAAATGGATTATGTATACTTTATATAGATTAACATACGAATATTCGACCTTAATATAAAATTTCTTCATGATTTAAAAACAAAAACTGTTAGTCTCAAAAGAAAGCCTTCTAAAATGTACTTGCTATGTGTAATCAAGTCAAGCAAAAAACTTTAATATTCATATAATAAATAATAAAACAATTTCTGTCTAAGATAGTAATGCAAAACGAAGAAAACATTGTAAAAATAATATTATTTTTACCACTAAATTGGTAGTTTTGGTTGTTGGAGCAGTAGTGGTTGCCTGCTGTTCTATGTTCATGACCATGGCCAATGCTGAATACTACTGAAACAAGCAAGAGAAGCAGATGAAATGACGTGCCGCTCTTTTTTTCTCTCTTCGATGTCGTCTTTTTGTTTCCACTTTTCTACTGTTATAGAAAAAAAAAGCTTATTCTCTTTCTCTTTTTATGCATCGACCGTGCTTCTTCTCTTTTTTTTCTACATTCTTACTATATATACTGGGCAAATAACGTTCTCTTTCTTGCGTTCAATCCATAATTCATCTGAGACACAAAAAAAGAACGGAATGGAGTGCGCTTGCAAATATAAAAAAACGACCAAGCAAAAAAGTGGAATGAAAAACGACTTTTCAGCTTGTTTTCTATAGCTGCGTAGCACGCTCTCTGATCATTATAGGAGTGGGGTTCTCATTTTTCTTCTCTTCCTCATCATATAAACAGGAAAAACTCCGATCAAAGATCGTCCGTTCGACTGGAAAGTCAATATATATATGTATTCATATCAATTTACCAATTCGTTTTTTTTTATATACATATTTGTTGTATAAGAAATGCGATTAGCTCTAGAAGTTTGATGAAGAAAAAATCGGACCCGAACATATGTAGAACAAGATGATTTGGTTTTTTTTTATTTTTTTCGAAAAAAAAACAATGGTTCAACAAAGTAGTGTTAAAATAATTACTTTTAACAAGCGAAAATTAGCCTAAAAAGATTTTTATAAGGAAAGAAAAAAAGTTCCATTTTTCTTTTTCAGCGTTCTTCTTCTGCACGCCATTGAACTTTTTTACTGTGGCTCTCAAGTGCATCACGTAACTTTTTATCGATCATTTCTTCGGTTAATGTACCATCTTCAGATGCATAAGCAGATGCCTACAAAAATAGATCAGTTTTTTCTAGGAAAAAGTAGATAAACTGGCTAACGAACCTGACAAGCAGCTAGTAATTTAGCTATTTCACGACCGGAAAAGCCATCTGTACGTTGTGCTAGTTCTTCACATTTTTTTTCGAAATCAAATGAACCGATTTTAATTGGACTAAAAAAATAAAACAAATTTTAAAAACAAGTTTTCTTCAACTTATTCGATTAGAATTTACCGACGACGTTCCGCTGACTTTAATATGTAGGTATCAAAATAAAGAAAAGTCATTCGGCGACGTTCTTCTAAACTTGGTATATTAAATTGTACCATTTCATCAAGGCGGTCGTTTACTGCCCAGTCAAACTGTTCAGGTTCGTTACTTGCCAAAACTAGCATGAAACTGCAGAAGAAGAAGAAGAAGAAAAGAGAACGATTGTAGGAAGTAAGGTTTCATTGACAAATAATTCGTACACGAGATGGATTCATGAAGTCATATAGAATATTTTCTTTTTAAGTTAATCAGAAAACATGTGTACCAAGAAATCTTAGAAGTTATTAGGCAGCATCAGAATTAGAAAATGAAACGATATATGACTAAGCATCCGCTTGTTTTTCTTCTATTTCGTTAAAATGGCTTTACAATTACATACACTACTGCTGTGAATTTAATCGGCCTGATAAGAAAAATGTATATATATATACATATAAAATAAACTTGATTTGATCATCTTAGAGAGAGATTGTGCAGGAAACGCGTTACCGTTTCTTTAAGACGGAAAAAAGAAAGAAAAATCATTTTCTTAAACGGAAATAAATCTTTCCGGAATTGAGCCAATTGCATCGTTCACTGAATCAATCATGGAGGCTATTATTTTCAATTCCAATAATCTGCGAGATTTCTTCTTCCAAGTGCTGACTATTGTGCAATTGATCATCGCAAAATAATTATACATTATCGTATCAATATATTTAATCTTCCTATTATCATGGCCTTGATTGTAACAGAAAAAGGCTGAACGAACATAATCGATAAGCCAAACTGTTTTTTTTTACTTTTCTTTTTGTTGCTCTTCGCCGAACAATTATTATTATGTGATACAGAAGTCTTAAAAAAACCAGTCTATTCTGTTTCAAGCGTACAGACATGTGATTAACTGATTAATTGATTATTCATTTTATTGACTTTCAAATGAGATAGTATTGGTTGTTGCAATATAGTATTAATAATAATCGTTTGAGATTAAAAACAAGCTTTCTATGATAAATATTCTTAATTTTTGTTTTATTTCTTTGGATAATTCTGTAAGTCCGACGGTAAATAACATCAAAACTGAAAAGAGCTCGTCAACTCAGTTGCTTTCAGATCGAAATGTACAACTCATAATGTATTTTTTGGTCTCATTATAAGAATACAAAATATATCAATTGAAAAATCTCTAATAGAGTGTACTTATTTTTCAAGGCTAATCGATGATCAGAGAAATGATCCATGTTATTTGGTTGTTTATTTCGAACGAAAACGTTTTTTCTCTCTCAACCGTACTTGTTATATTTTTTTATTTGCCTTAGTGTTATTTGTTGCTTGTTTTTTTTCGTTTCAAATTTTTCCTTTTTTGCTTCATTTAATATTACTATTATTGTAATCTTTGATTTTCACAGGCAGATAAATCTATTTTACATGTTGATTATATATACAGTACATCTTAATATACTATTAAGTATATATATAAAACACTGATAATGATCATTAACTTAATTAATTCATATTGGTTATGTTGATCGAATTATAACTATAACGAATCTATGCATTGCAAACTGTCCTACTTGACATTTAGAAGAGAAATTATTATCGGAAGAAAAGTTCCCAGATTCAAATAGCTACTCAACGTTTGGGGAAGTCTCAGTTGTATTGTCAATGCTGTATAGTGCGTTTTCCGCAACGCTAATGAACCTTGGTAACGCCATCTGGCATCTACTGTCCTTGATTACTATGGAAATGACCTATCCTCGATGGCAATTTTCTTTCCTTTATTGATATGAAGCGTATATAATTGAAAATCTATTTTTCAAAGCTTGATCTCACTATAATTTTCTTTGGCAAACATCATCGATGTTTAAGAAGAATAGTTTTCAGTTGTGATATATATATATATATTAAACAAATTACATGAAAAATCGAAGCAGCAGGTGGGTAGAAAGATTGCTTCAGAGAAACAATCTATTTTTATCTAAAACCACTGGAGTAACATAGACAAAGAAGTATAATAGCAAATACTAATACCTATTTATTGGTAAATATCATCAAACGCGCTATGATCGATGACTTATTTGCCTTTCTAAGCTATCCTGTTTTCAAGTAAGAACTCAAGCATATTTATGAGAAGTATTAAGTAAAAGGTCACGAAAATTACTGCATGTTGTAGTCAAGGATATTTGATAGGAAATTTTTGATTGTAAGAATAACTTCCTATCATCTTTCAAAAGACAAAATACCCAAAGGGAAATTCCATATACTATACTAAACAAATTAATAGCATCGGAAAGATCGAAGTGATATACTACGATACCAGTCAAGAAAATTTATTCATGAAATCATTGATTTTGCGCATAACTTACCGACTCGATTGTTCACCAGTGCGATAAAGAAATGCATTCAGTGCTGCACGCATATCTTCTCCGATTTTTTCTGTAGCTCGTTTTCTTAAAAATGCATCAGCTTCATCAATAAATAACAAAAGACCGCGACGACTTGTTTGTGACCAATCGAATACTTTATGTATAGCAGTAACTGCTTCACGACCTAATGGGGCTACGTCACCACCAGTCATTATAGCGTAATCAAGACCTGAATGAGCAGCTAATTTCTATATAAAACGTTGATATTTTCCCAATTAATTATTTAATCGAGTCAAATATTTACCTTAGCAAATAGAGTTTTACCTAAGAAAAACAAATACCATGATTGAATTCTAGAAATAAATTCTTTTTTCTTTCTTTACCAGTTCCTGGTGGTCCATGCATAAGTAAATTTCTAAATAAGCCATAATTTCGTTTTGTAAATCTTGTTGCTATAGCTATTTCACGTAGACGAGATTCAAGTGCTGGATCAAGGACGACGCCTTTCAATGAATCTTCAGCTTTCGAAAAAAAATGAAACCGTATGGTTTTCACCGGTGAACGAAGTGCAGTAAGTAGTGTGGTTCGAGATGTTTCACGAATTAATGATGGTTTACCAAGACGTGAATCAATATACTTAACGGCTGTTTGAGTTGCACCACGTGCTGAATAAACACCAAGAGCAAGTAATGTAATACCACCAGTCTATACAAGCGGACGGCGATAGTATTTTGTTTTTCGGGGAAATCGTTTTCTTTTAAAGACTTACTGCCATAAGAACTTTACTTGGATTTTCAAGTAAACTTGTTATACCAGATCCAACAACAGTACCTGCTGTTTTAATACTTTCGAGAATTGTTTTACGTTGTTCTTCAGCTTTAAGTTTGATTTGTTCGAGATAAATTTCACGATTCTCTCTTTCGATTTGAGCTTTGCCTTTTAGTTCTGCTTCAAGGCGTTTCATTTCATACTGATGACGAACTTGTTCAGCATATTCAATTGAACCTAAATACTTATCAATAAAAGATATTCAAGAAATATTTAAACATATTTCTAACGTTGTTTCATTTCTTCTTGTTTTCGAACTGAGTCTTCTTGTTGACGAAGTTCTTGGTCGTGTAGACGAGCCTAATTATTAATAAGAAAATATTCATTATTGCACGTAGATAAACATTTGATATTACCTTTTCAGCAGCTTGATCTTGCATACGTTTTCGGGCTAATTGATCTTGAAATTTTGCTCTCTAAAAATAGAGAATATTGAGAAAAGAAAATGATCTAAAGAGAAATGTATACTTCATTTTGATGATGAGTTTCATCATTCATCATTCGTCGTTTTTCTTCATTTAATTGTAGTTGATGTTTGAAACGAATTTCTTCATCATGTTGAGAATACTCCTAACAGAAAAGAATTCAATAAATCGTATCATTCTTTAGCAATATGATTTCACAGGAAAGAAAACACCTTTCATATCGATACATTCGGATAGCATTTCTTTTGATAATTTATTATGCAACACATGCATGTTAAATTATTTTCAATTGCCTAAAATCCCTTTTATACACAATCGTTTTATGCAATTTATTATAGACAGCACAACGTTAATTTTTTCTAAGTCTGTTTGAGCTCTACGAATAATTGAATTTATCCTTGTTTAGCTCTATGAGTTGTTAATAGGACTTGAGAAGTCAAAAACACTATTTTGTATCCGAATGAAAAGGTCAAAAACTAATTCTAAATGGCGCAAGTCCTGCTCGCGAATGCCAAAAACCTTGTCCTTTCACAGAAATAGATATCTGGAAAACCAATCTTTTTTTGTATTGCACTCTTACTGAAAATGTCATCATAAATACAATCAACAATGCCGAGTATGTCATAAAATTAGATAGATATTTGCTACTTACACTTTAGTTAATTCACTAATCTATTCAAAATTAAATTAAAGATAGTTATATTAGAACCGCAGTGATTCTAATGAATTAACTTTTACTGTATTGATTTAGCATATTGATAGAAAAGACTATTTTAGAAATCATGTTGACGAATTTCTAGTCACAATGGTTATGAGTATTTACTTTCATTTGCTTCTGTATTTCAAGTTGTTTTGTTTGCTCTTGCATTTTAACAACATCGAATGCTTGATTAGCATATTCTTAAATAGATTAACATGCTGAAAACATATCCTACATAATTGAGTAGCTCTTACTTGAACGTTCAAGTTCTTTGGCTGCTTGAGCAGCTCGTTCAAGTGCGCCCGAATCAAATTTATATATCGATTCACGACTGGCGTAAACTTTAGAGTTGCCATCGGTTGATGAAGGTTTTTCATTTCCATCATTTTTTGATGATGATGATGAGCTTTCACTACTTCCACCTGAACCTTGAGATGGAAGATCCGACACCGGTCTTTTATAACCAAATAACCAAGACATCTAAAAATAAGATTCATTGTAGTATTCGAGAAATAGTATATGAAATTGTAAAAATTTGTTTTATCGTAATTTTTTATGCTTTCATTATTGGCACCTATACTTTCACCTTGAACTTTTAGTACTAAAATTGCACTTATTGATAAAATACTGTTGAAAATAGATATAAATTGTACAGAATGGTTAAAATAATCTGATGCAATGTATGTGCCCCTTGGTAATGGTTAATATCTGTAACTTCTATGCAGAATTTTCTGACTTCTGTTTTAAAAGAATATTTATTTTAAAGTGATCGATTCCATTTTATCGATTGCTTGGAATTAGAATTTTATTTTTATTAATTAGGAAGTTCTCATTCTATATTGGTTCGTTCATATCAAATTGAGATCAATGATGAGGCGCCCTCTACAAAACTCATCTCGTTTTTTTCTATAGTCTCAAATTTTATTTGATTCTAATCATTAAACTACATCAAATAACGAAGAATTCTTTTTACTATAATAGATTAAGAAAATTTTGCATCAAAATGAAGATTTTAATCTGACCAACATGGCAGAGTAAAGTAAAGTGACGCAATTTGATTGGTGTTTTTCATTCTAGAAGAAGTTCATCATATAATTTTCTGCCTGGGTCGTTGACGTTGACTATGAACGCTGATGTTATTTCATTCTTTGTAGATTGTATATCATTTAAGTTTTTTGTTGTTGTTGCTGTTATTTTTCTTTTATCGAATTGAACGATGCCAACGAAATTGTATATTGGTAATGTGCCTCCAACAGTAAGCTCAACTGAACTGAAAGAATTATTTGAAAAATATGGGAAAGTACTAGAATGTGACATTGTAAAAGATTATGCCTTTGTTGTAAGTCGTTTTTTTCCTATAAGAAGATCATTTTATAGTGATTTCTTTTAGCATATGGAAGATGCAAGCAAAGCCAAAGCATCTATAGCTGCTTTAAATGATTTTAATTTAAAAGGAAGTCGTATCAGAGTTGAAGTATGTGATGACTTAATAGACTATTTTAAAGTTGATATTTATTTTTATGATTATTTCATAGGTATCAACAACTCAACTAAGAAATTCGAGTCGTCCATCGTAAGAACTCGTTTAGTTTTTATTTGGGTATTTCTTTTATTAAATTAGAAAATTTATCTTTTTCTTAAATACAGCCGTCGAGAAGAATCATCACGTTATGAATCAGGTTCAATGTCAATGCGATCAGCTCGGTAAGTGATCTTTTTATTATATTGAAGAATCGTTGAATGAGAATTTTCTTCTTTTAGAAGTCGAGATATGCCAATGATGTCATCAAGTCGAAATGGTAGTTACTCAGGTGGCGGCGGTCCCGATCGCTCGTATCCGAGTATGCGTAATAGCTACATGGAAGCACGATCTCGTCCGTACGATTCACCTTATGAACGTCAACGTATACCACAACATATAGCACCAATGAGCTATCCCGATCCGTACAGTCGTCCTGGTGGTGATCCGTACAGTATGCGTAGTGGAGGTGTTGATCCGTATGGTCGCGACGACTTTTATCATCATCGAGGACCACCAATGTCGATTGCTGATCATTATGGACGTGGACCACCGATGCGGTATGTCGTTATTCGTGCATAATAGAAAGAAAGAAAAAAAATGAGTTTCATATCGAAAATCGTCGACCTATTGGTTTCCTTTTTCTATATATTCAAGTCCCGTCTCTCTCTCTCTCTATATATATATATATGTGTCTCTTTCTCTCTATCTCTCACTATAAATATTCGTACGTTCAAACGTCCCCATTGGTCGTAATCCGTTTCAGGTCTGCTTACGATGCCTACGCTGCTTATTCGTCTGGACCGAGTTCAATGGGACCACCACGAAGGTAAGCACGAAATCTATAAATTACAGACTACGTTCAGTTCGTGTATAAATAAATGGAAAATCTGGTCGAATTGCTTTATTTTTCATGAGACTTACATAAAAGCAACCGACAAAGAAAGAAAAGGAAGAAAAACGAACCTATCGTTCTTCGTATTTATATAATCTTACATTAGTCGTTATCCTGCATCTCCACCATCATCACGTTATGGGTCATCACCACGATTATCATCATCGTCTCGTCGTCCAGCAAGAAGATCACCGCCGCCACCACCATCGAGTTCATCACGATCGCGTCGATAAAACAAATCAATTATGGTTGATACGCCGTGATTATTTTAAACAAACCAAAATTTTCATAGTGAACTATTTCCTCATACACACATTCTCAGAGCCGAATGAAACAAAGAATTATGTGCAAAACATAATACTGATCTGTTTCATCAATCAGTCAAACTGAGAGAATACTGTATATAAAGTTGAAATTTTTTTCTTTATTCCCCTTCTTTTTTCCTTGAATTGTAAGCGGAACAATTAAACATGTTGTCTTGCGATTTCCCCTTTCTTTGTTCTTTATTCATTTCCTTTATGTTTGTTGTATGTGTATTTGTCTATGTACGAGTGATAAACGAAAACAAGTCTATATATAGACTTACTATGAAGAAGAAAAAAAAATAATCTCAAATATCTGATTGCATTCTTTTTTTTATATCTAATACAAAGATAAAAAATTCAGATATAAGATTTCTATTAGAAAATACTTTTATTGAACACAAGTACTTCTCGTCCGTTGAAATATCTGAGAGAAAAATTCAATTTTTCTTTCCTTTCGAAAAGCCTCCAAACACGTATGGTTCACACTGAAGTTTGAACGGGGAATTGCTATCGCCGTTGAAAACACTCAATAAAGCAAAAATTCCTATGATTATTTAGTAATTTCATTTGCTTGGTTACACGGCACTATGCGTTCACTTGAAATATTTTTTTTGGAATTGAATTGAATTGAAATCAAGCAAACTTGTTTTTTAAACAAATTCCATACAAGCAAAGAAAAAACGTTGTAAACATGAATTTAAAGGAAACATCTAATTAAAGCAATTTTCTATATGGATTCTTCAGTTTATCATATTTGAATTCAACTATTCAGATAAAACAATAACATGAAATAAAATAAATTTTGCATAATATAAAACATGTTTATGTCATAACACAATAGGAAATGAGATTTCTATCGACATAACTACGTTTCAATATTGTAATGCCCACCCAACAAATTAATAGTCTAGCTAAATGAATGAATCATTTTTGTAGAATAAATCGTATGTTGTTTTGAATAATCACGAATAATTTAAAATTCAAGAAAAAAACAGATTGACCTTCATGATTAATCGAAACATTTGCTGTTTTATTTTAAATAAAATCTGTAAAATAGTTGTATAAGAAATTTTCATTTCATTGTCTGTTCTTGAATAGAATTAAATTAACAGTTGATATTATTTCCATCGAAAAATGTTTAGCTAACTTCCGATCACCATTTTTTATCCGTACTTTTCATGTGTAGATATCCTATATGACTGACTGTGTTATCTGTTTAAGACAATTGCCTAACAATTTTTTTTATTCACTACGGACGATTTTACACGTATTACAACGAATGATCTGCCATCATTTTTTTTTTCTAGTATGGATTCCATGTGCAGTACTTTGAATCTACTAGGAGAACATTTACATCGTCAAATATGAAAGCATACACATCATTTAGATGAAGTTTTCTTTGTTCAATATTTCTAAGAATTGTATCTTACGATAACTAGGATAATAGGTTCATATGTTTAACTATCCATTAGTATTCTTCAGTGCAAAACTGTTCATTGTAATCCCGAAGATTTCGAACGTGACTAGTTTCTTTACTTGAACATATGTCTTTCTCATGTTTATGATCTAGAATGGAATGGTCAATATTGTATGAACATATACGTATCTCGGTCAGTAAATAACACAGAACATCATGTTTTGTATTAAGTAGCTTTTATGACTATATATGTTTTGTTGTGATTATAATTATTTTTTTCTAATGATATTATCGTGCAGATTAAAGGAAGCAAGGTAGTGATTTGTATAATGTTTAATAAAAAAATTTAAGGAAACTACTGTTTAAAATTTTATATAAATATTTAGTGAGAAAACAAGTCTTTATTGTTGTTGTTGAATATGCTAAACATCGAGATTGATAATTTGATAGAACGTACGTTTTGTATGACATAAACGTTTTTCCTTCATAGTTTTTTCTCATCTCCGATTTCTTCCATTAATGCATTTGCTGATCCTCGTTGCATGTTATTTCTTTTTCCGATAAAAGAATTGTTGCCTTGTTCTGGGACTGTCTATAGCCCCGGCTTGAACAAATTCACTTCCCAGCACAGAATCAACAAGAAGAGAAAGAAATTCTAGTTTTTCATATCGAAAGCGCTTCAGCTATAACAGGAAGAAAGGGCAAAATCGTCGAGAAGAAAAAAAGGAAAAAGAAAAAAGAAGTTTTTTTGCTAATTTACCCTTATTTTCTTTTCACGCCATTCGTCACACTGTTGGGGGGAAAACGCCACATTTATAAAATAAAAATACTGGAATGATCATGTGGTACCGTTTATCAACATTAATAACAGCATCACTAATATTGATTTTCACCACAAATATTCAAGGAAGAGATTGGATCGACTACGATGAACCATCATCCAATGTTGATGCAACATTCGAGGATGATTCCGATCAATATTTGAGCGCATTAACACGTGATGAAGAGCAAGAAATACACAGTCCACTTGTAACCGGTTATAAATATGTGTCAGGTAATAATCTTTTTTTGTAAAAGAAATAGAGATTCTACGAAGTTCTATTTTAATATTTAGGTGGAGCAGGTGAAGGTCGACAACATCTTAGTCCTAGTGGTGAAATACCAAATCATCCTGAAGTAAAAACCGACGAAGAACTTCCATCCTATTGTAGTCCTCCTAATCCATGTCCATTAGGTTTTGAAGGTAAAATTAAGTTTAAAAGACAAATAATTAAAGACAAATTCTTGTTATATTTATTTACAGCTGATGATTGTGACGCATCAGAAATGTCTAAATTTACAGCTGAATACAGTCGACTATATCAAGCTACTCAAGATTGCCAATGTGACAATGATCATGACGAATGCTATGCGAATAGCATTATGGTAAAGAGATAAAGTTGATGATTGATTTAAATTAATTTTTCAAGCTCGTTACTTTCAGTATACTGTTCCACCACATGGCTCATCAAAGGGTATTTTAAAGCGTGCTCGGCGAATTAGACGCGTATGTTAATGGTTGGCTTGTTTTTTCTTGATCTAAAAATTAAATATTCTATTTTAGAGTGCTCGTCATTCAGATGAAAAAAATCATACGAAAGTTAATTCGAAACAAAATCCATATCATAAAGGACAGACTCTGCGACTCCATGTTGCTAAAAAGTCTCCAATGAGTATGGTGTCGTAAATTATGATGTATCCATTTATTTAATTCAATGAAAAAAAGATTCAATTGCAGCAGAATACTTTCAAAAACTTAAAGAGAAGAAGAAAAATTTGAAAATACAAGTAATTATTTTTGATTGACATATATATGTATTCGTTTAAAACTCGAATCGAATGTAAATCATTATTCCTTCGTAATGAAATCCTTTATTATTTTTTGTCTTCAATTCATACAATGAGATCAATAAAATATTTTCTTCTTCATAGTATATTATCTCATGTCAATCTATTTTTACATTGATTTTATGCACCGATTTTCAAAGCAATTCTATCAAAGGTGAAACAAACAAATATTTGCTTTCAATTAACAGAATTCATACGAGAGTTTTCAGATGGAAATGCATCACAAAGATTCATAAGAAGACGTCTCATAGAGTTAATAAGATAGTCAAACAATCTTGCTAGTTCTATCGGGCTATAATGAATGTTTTTCAATAATCAGATGTCTACCATCCGCTTCCGAAGCCTCTCTAACACTACAAAATGAAATCTAATAGAATTTCATTGACTGTTTTTTACAAAAGATTTTTCAAAGTAAATTGACGAAATGCACAAAGTTGTTAGTAATTATTAATGAAACTCATCTATTTTTTAGCGATATTTTTAAAAAGAGATGCATCTTGTTGGGTTCGAGGATTTTCAATGGAAAGGTAGGGCGAGATTGAATGGTTTTTTTTTACTCTTGATGACAATTTTAAGCATCGCAGCTAAGAATTTCATTTTTATCATGTTCTAATTTTACCATGTCAATACATATTTTCATGAAAATATAACACTAATGATAAAACGAATTCATATAAAAGAAAAACATGCTTGGCTAAGTCGAAATAATGATGATTCATTCTCTTGAACGTATACATCACAGTTGAATCTTTTTTTGAAAATAATAATCGAACGTGCTTGTTGGCTACTGCAGTCATATTTATTCGTTTCTGATTCATGAAAAGGAAAATTGCCCGTTCAACACTCATTCTGGAGAAAGAGCTTTTATTAATCATCTATGAAAAGCAATACTTCGAAAGCACTCACAAAAATATGATTTCAGTCAAGCTTTGAAACTGGTTTGTAATACAAAAAAACTAGACTTGACAAGCAGTCAAGTCATCATTCCTATAAATCCATTGGTTCAATTAAATAACTGGTACGAAAAAACTGAAATGCAATTAAAACACGTTTATAAACAATTCATCTAAAGCACACTTGAATAGACGAGAAAACAAAATGCTTGTTTTGCGCTTTTCTTAGAAAAAATATCGATTATTTTTAATTGTTCATGTGCAATAGCACAAACAGTATTATCAAACATGACATCGCAGTCAAAAGTGCGCGATCTTCTTATTACAGGTATTTCAACACAATTTCCAGATTATAATCCTTATAGTAGTTCGAAAAATGTACAAAATCGATCTTCGCATCCAACAACTGGATGTTCTTTTGATCCACATTGTCCTGAGTGTATTCGGGATTTATGGGGACCATTATTGTCACCGTTTGCCTATCTAATTAAACAAAATGCTGAATATTTTGATGAAATTATCAAGCGTATTGGAAAATATAAATTAAATACAATGCCAAATTCTTCTTCGTCAAAGCAATCATTAAAACCACCTAAACTCGAATATGATGATCATAGATTTTTAACTACAATTGGTGTTTGTGTCTATCGTACATCAAAAGTGGGTTGGTTAATTACTTGGGTAAAAATAAGAGAGATTATCAAAGCTTTTGATAAATTTTACTCTTCGAATTAGACATTAGGCTTCTTATTAATGATATTAGGTATTGCAATACTTGTATTAAAAGATTCACAACTTTCACCATTGATTGTTCTGCTACGCATGAATCAAGCATCGCGATGGGGTTTAAAAGTGACGCTGCAATTAGTAATCTAATTTTATTTTTGATTTAAAATTAAAATCTATTTATTTTCTATTGTTATTTATTTCGTAGTGCTTCATAGCAATTTCACTAATAGGAATATTGAAGATGCTAGCATCTTTACTTGGTCTCATCGCAACAGCACATCGAAATCAAAGTCTCATGATAGGAGTGAGTCATATCGGTGTCAAATGATGAATATGATGAAAAACGTATTTTCTAGAGATTAGACTTTAATATTTATTAGTATTCTCATTCTATTTGAAATCGGTGCAGTTGTTTACTGTGCTTTTGCTCGATCAGAAGTAAATTAATTTCTATTGACAAAAACAGCAAGCTATATTCATTTTTAGCTTATGTCAGATATTGAAACAGCATTGACAAATTCCTTTCAAGATCATTATGCTACTCTTGATAATGATCGAATCACAGACGCTTGGGATCGTATTTTTCAAAGTGTAAAAATATTGAATGGAAACAAAATCGAATAAGCCATATTTGCGTTTTCTAGTATGAATGCTGTGGATGGCTGATTAATGATTTTAGCAATTCACAATGGACTTCATCTATAGCAAATGGTATACCACATTCATGTTGTCGGCCAGGTTTGCTTACATAACAAAAGAAACCTCAATAAATACAATAGATATTTGTTTTTAATAGGTGCAGTTCATCCAACATGTGAATCAATTTTAGCTCCACCAAATCAAAACTATGCTGGTCAAGTAATTGATTTCTAAACATTGTCTTCCTTCTAAAGTTGAATTTTTCGAAAATAGGAATGCTCGAATTCTATTCAACAATCAATAAATGCGAATGCTTATGTACCCATTATATTTTCTTCTATAGGTTTTATTATTATCATTGAGGTAAATAAAAATAATATGTGTATTCAACAAAATATTATTTCAATTAGCTTGCATCTACTGTTTTAACATTCCTCTATGCAACAACATTAAAAACAGCTAGTCGTCGTCGCCGTTCACATAATGAAAGATCAATGCGAAAATTTCAAGGACAACTTGCTTCTTATACTGGAGAAAGTACCAATGATGTACCGTCCGATCGAAATCAAACCAATGATCTTCATCAATTATATGATCCGTATGGATCTTTTCATCAGACTCCGCCCAACATTGATCCATCCTTCATGTCTTTAACGCCAACAGTGATTCAAGTAAAACGGCCCGATGTTTATTCGTATTTTTACTATGAATGAAAATATTTTCATTTTTGTTCTGTTTTATATTAAAGAATAGACAAAAGAAAATGAAACGCATAGTAGTTGTGTATGTTGCTTTAGATAATATGCACAAAGCGTAAAAAGAAAGCCGTAAATACATCGAAGGCAAAAATACAAAAGGTATGATCGAGTCATTAAACAAGCGACTAGATACCGTCGAAATCCGTCTAGATTCCCAATCGATTATCTCACTGTTCGCTAGTTTTCTTTGATTTTTTTCTTTCTGTTTCTATACAAAGGAATCCAGATAGACTAGGTATTGTAACACGCACGAAACCGGGACCTAAAAAAGAAAACACAGCTCCGATATTTTTAAATAAAATAGATATGCTAGACAAGCAGAGAAAATAGAAAGCGGAAGGCAAATAATCCTGAGGTAAAAATGTTACATGAAAGTATAAAGACAAAACTAAATAATGAAAGAAAAAAGAAAATTAATCTGTTGGATCGCCTGTATCAGGAAATGGGATCATATTTTCAAGTGAATGATTCGTTTGTGATGGACGTGTAGGGATACTGCTGGAACTCGATGATGTCAATGAATCTGTTGTATCACCAATACCACCTAAATAGATACATAAGAAAAACTTAGTATTGGAAATAAATATGTCGATATAACGAACTGTTTTTTAATGATATATCAACAGCAGCATCAGCTAATTTTTCGACAAGATCAACTTCGAAATCAGACTTCGTACTATCAAATGAATTTCCATAGACACTTAACGATGGTGCATCCTAAGAACAAAATAATTTAAATTAATCTTCGTTTTTCTTTTTCTTATCTTACTTGATAACTACCAGAACCCACTTCAATATAAGCAGGTGCAATGTCTTTTTGTAGACTTGGTACATGAACGGGTGTTGATTTTGACCATTTTATTCTAAAAAGAAAATAATGAATCTAAAAATCTATTACAGAAAAAAATTATCCACAATGTCCATTATGAACCATCATGACCTCTGACTAGTAAAATCCGAAATCTTTTACTTTAAAGATTAGTAGACCGATCGCTATACGATCATCCTCCAAAAGACTATGTGACAGATGTTTAGTACGTGCTACGGATGCACCAATTCCAAGCCAATAATTGGAATCGGTGCACCCCTAGTACGTGCTAACTTCTATATAAATCATAAGTACTTTGTATCTTCTCAGTGAGAATGAAGAAATTTCTAAACATTTGTGACTGTTAGCGTTCTATAGACTAGAGTGTGCCGGAGTAGAAAATTTTACTTATATATTTCAGAATTCTATTTTAAAAACTTACGGTAAACTTTGTAAATCAGCATCAACAACATTCATGGATGTTTGAGGTGAATCAGCTGTGAATACATTGGAATTTGGATGACAAATACTAACTGTTGCTTCAGAATAATGTTTAAATTGAAATTGTGGACCCATCCATAAACGACGATGTGGACCAATACATGTATTCATTTCCAGCTAAATATGAATTAATTATGTTTTTTTTCTTGTAAAATTTATCAGGCAAATAATTTACTTGTCGAAGCCAATCATCTTTTGAATAAACTTTATTTATTGGCGCCGTGCGATGACCTTGAGATAGAAATGCATTAGCAACAGACATACGAACTTCAGGCCATGTTGTCAATCTAAACATTGAAAATCTTAACTTGTTTTTTCTTTTGATAAATATTATTACTTTTGAAGTGGCCATTGAGCTTTTGGAGACGTTTTAAGAATGAGCGGAGTTTCTGGTGTAACACGACTGCCATGTTTACTTGTATCTTAAAAAAGAAATCTAGCTGTTTTTTTTTGTTTGAATTCTATGACAGTAATAATGTACCTGCTATCGGCTCAAGAACATATTCAATAAGTCTACCGTGCCAACTAATAATATATAATGAACCGCATGCACGCGTTGTATGTTCTTGATGATTAATCATGTCTTCTGGATTAAGAAAACCGCGTGAAATACCAAATGTTGCTGCTAAACATAATGAATCCATATTGAATGGCACAGTGAGGCCGCTCACAAAATTATCAGTCGGTTGACGAATTATTGTTACAGCCGTTGAAAATATACATTCAGGATTTGTTCGTTTAGTACGTGCTAATGACGTAAAACTATTATTATGATTATTATTCGTACTTGATGAAGAATTAGTTAAAGAATTTGATGATGTATCTTTTAGTCCATTATCATTTGTATTAGTATGGGATTGACGTGTTGATTGTTCTTCAAGACCAGCCGTACGATGATAGCGACTTGCTTTGTTAACAACGTAAGTTTTTGAATGTGTACGAATATTAACAACACCTGAAATGAATGAGAAAACATTTTTTATACAACGAAGATAGATTTTTTAACTGATAAGTCATTCCAAACTTTGTCTACTTAGAATCCGAGACAGAAGGAATACTAAATGTTCTAATATTTTACAGAAACATCAGAACAATTAGTTTTCGGTTTGAGACTAAGCAAGATGACTAGTTTATTGTGAATGTTTTAGATCTAATTACAAGTTTTATTCGAAGTAGGAGCCATGGGAATGATATGTCTTTCATATCATTAATATAAACCACCAATTGAATATTCTTGTTTCAGGATAAGCGAGCGACAAGAAAAGAGTTCAAATTTCGGTTAGTTTGTATCTTAATGCAAAGTTTCCTTTATTTTTTTCTGCTTTTGCTGTGCTAAACCATAATAAAATAATTTCAAGGGTCTAGTTCAAAGCGGAGCAATCTAACAAAGTGTTTACATCTTTTAACTACAGAGTTCAATAGATTTGTAGCCGATCAGTTTTTTCTGATGAAAGTTAATCTATGAGTATTCTTTGATAAAACATATGAAATAGCAATTACATGTTCTCCTATATCAATAATCAAATACTTCTACGTATCTCTGTAGAAAAAAATTCTGTAGCATTTCGAAAAAAATCTATAATGCAAAATGTGCAAAGATTTTAGAGTTTGTTTTGATAATCTGAGTTCACAAAGTTCAAATTAATAATCAGCTAAAGGTTAAATAATTCTTCATTTTCTTTCAATTTAAAAAATGATATTCATACGACTAATTGACTGAAACAATTTAGAAAAGAACAGCACGGGTTAAAATTATCATTCTCGAGTACAAATCTCTTTTTAAATGATGATTAGAGCTCGAACATATGTTACATATACAATTCCAGATAATCCCATTCGTTCTATCTACCTCCATATGGGTTAATTGCAAATAAATGTGTTGTTCCACGTTTTGTGGATACAGCAAGCCATCGGCTATCAGTGGTAAATGTCATATGGGATACTAAAAATAGAAGACAATCAATATCAAAACAACATTTTTTTGCTCGTTTTGGTTTTATGTATCACCTCGACAATCAGTATCACCACGAAATAAAGTATATAAATGCTTAATAAACGTTCTCGTACAACGATAAGGTGATACTTGAATTTCTAATACATTAAAATAATGACCACTAGTATCACATGTTACAAGTAAATGTCCACTTGGATTAAATTGTAAATAACCAATAGATTCGTTATGAGCTTGAAAATGAGCTATAATCCAATTTTGTCTCTCATCATGAACTGTTGACTAAAGTAAAACAGTACAAAAACAAATAGCCTTAGTAAATCCATTTTCTTTTCTTACTCCAAATAATTTAACTGTATCAATAATTGTTACGATACCCGCTTGTGCTTCATCTTTTCCCGATCCAAGTCTACGACGTGATGAATTCGTACTATTATTATTGTTTATTGTTGGCGATGATACTTGTTTAGTTACTGGTAATTTATCATTAAAATTCGAATTATTATTAATCTGTTGTCCACTATAACCTAATACACTTTCACCTATTTTAACTACACTTTTCGATAGAGATTTAGCAGCATTCAACATAGCACCTGTATAGGATGCGTATTGTTCCGATATATTACCATTAATTCCACCTGATGATTGATGAATTAAATGAAGACGATAATCTGCAAAAGCTAACCATCGTGTCGATAATGCCAATGGTAGTGACGAGTAAACATTTGATAGGAAGAATTTTTCATCAAATTTTATTATATCATAACCAATAATAAATGTATGTGTCGCACAAATAAGTACCGAACTATTCGATTCAATTAATATTGGCTCTGCTTGAAGACCAACACCAGGTAAATTTATTACTTTTATCATATGTTGATCATTTTTCAATGAACAAATTTGTATAGATGGTGGTCCAGCAGATTTAGCAAATGCTATCAGAGGACGATAAGATGAATGTGGATCATCCAGTGATGAATTTGTTGTTAATAAACATGCCGAACAAATATTGTGCTCACGAATAGAAAATAATTCACTTGCAATACCATTTATTTCAATTGTCCATAATGCTAAACTACTTTTATATGCAATTAATAGAACTAAGGTTTCGATACGTATCGACGGATGCCATTCGTGTACATTGGAAAGAAAACGAACCCATTCAATTGGTTCTAATTGATCACTATTATTAGTACGTGAAGACGTAGCATATGCCTAATGAGAGAAAAAATATTTTACTTTGAAAAACATTGTTTGAAATACTAAATCTTACTTGAGGAACTTTTTCTACAACGTCATGAAAAAGGCCAACAACTGATTCAATTACACTTTTTTCACTAGAGTAAATAACATGAAATTAGGAAAATGATAGTATTGAAATAAATAAATTTACTTGACCGCTTCCGGACGAACTTTTCGTAATTCAATCGATGATACATAGGACATTTAGGCGATTACTCTTAAAATATATAAATAGATATTTACTTATTTTTTGTATCCTGAAAATAAATATAAATTCATCAATTATGCGAAGGACGTGTTCATTTACATATACACGTATGTAAATCGTCAGAAAACAATAAAGAAAAGAAAAACAAATCAAATCAGCTGACATTCCAAAATAAAAGTGTCTTGATGAGTCATAAATCTAGAGTATTAGTAAAAAGAAATACACAACAAACAGCAGCTACGAACACGAGCAAAGATGACTTTATTGATTTTTCGTAACTAATCGATCCACCGATTGGATTTTGAATTAATAGATGTCACTAATAGTTACATCAGCCGACTTGAAGAACCAAGCATTTGCAATGGGGGTAGAGATAGAGAGGTACATTTCGATAAGCTTGAGATAGAGAAAAGAATTCATGATCAAAATATTGTCCATGTCTGTTCGACACGTCGTTAAGAATAGCATTCTAAGTTGGATTTTAAATCTTCGTCATCCATTGATTTACGACATTTGTAGTTTTCTTTTTGTAGTAATTTCATGCAAACTTTAATTGATCAATTCCCTTGATGAGAATATAAGATGCGTTTGAATGTAACCGAAATTGGTTGCCTTGATTCTATTTAAATTTAAATTTAATGCATCAGTATCAGTGACAGAGCATTATATGTAGACACTAATTCTCATCTTTGACTAGTTTATATTTTCAGATAATTATGACGTGTATTTTGAAAGCATGTTATTGCTATCGATGCATGCAAATAAAGAAAAGTTGCAAGTAAAGAAGAAACAAAACAAAAAATGACCACCGAGTAGTTCACTCATGAAAACATTTCTTTCCCAGGCAAATGGATTTCTATGTAAAAGTTAACTTAAATAATTCATTCGTTTCGGTTGATTAAAAGTCAATGTGTATCTAGAGACAAGACGTTTGGAGAAAAATAAGAATATATTCTACATTGTTCTGAATCTAAACAATGCGTCACGCATCTGATTAGAACAAAAATTGATATATTAGTATTAGAGTTGCTATTCACCGAAATATTTCATTACGGCGATTGTTCACTGTTACTGTTTGATTGTAAGAAACTGTCTACGAAAGAAAACAGTATACAAAGATGTACAATCGTTGTCAACGACATGAATTGGTGTAAAAAAATCTACCGCAAAAATAAACTAAATGTTTGTCTCAGCAAGACAAAATATCCAAAGTTTGATTACTAATGATGACATTCAAAACTATTCTATTCTGCATGTAGAGTTGTTTCTCTATCTTTAGTAAAAATAGAACACTGCTTATCTCGATAAAATACTATGAATACTTTTATTAGAATTGATGGTGTAAATAGCAAAGCATCTATCTATATGAAACATTAGAAAACTATGGAGTTAATGATGGATCTTGCCATCACAGTAGGGATATAGAAATAAACTAAACTACATGACGAAAAGTATCACGCAATTACATATATAATTCTCGATGTGCAAAAAGGCATGCTATCGCTAATTGTTCACCAAAACAGTGAAGATTGGTCAAATAAATTCTTAGTTTTTTGTTACTTGGCTTTAATTAACATGTTTCTTTCTTATACAAGAATGAACAAATGACAAGTTTCCTTATTTCAAATCATTGCTTTACATGGTTCAAACTCATCGCAATACACGCAATGTTACTAAGACTACTAATAAATAGCAGAAAAACTAAATTGCAATGATTAGTTACTGTTGAACTAAATCCCATATTTGAAGGTTTCTTTCTGATAGGAAAATAATAATCAGAAAACTTTTACAACAAGCCAAAATCTTGACTAATATTTTGTAATGAAAATTTGAGTTGAAAAGTACCAGTCATTAAGAATCTTTGTTGAGCTTATTATTATGAACAATTCAGAAAGGCAAGCTCTCTCTCTCTCTCTCTCTGACCAAATAAAACTTTATCAAGCATTCAGCAAGAGACATAAATTTTATTCGCTACTAAAAACAAAAGTTGTAATTAATAAATAGTAGTCTATGTCAATTCTAATTACACAACGATTTATCATTATTAAATTGTTTCAAAACTCTCTTCATTTACAAAATTCTACTTTGGCCCGAAAAAAAACAAACAAAAATGGAGAAGAAGAATGGCAATAGAATTATGAAGTAATCGAGTAAGATTTTGCACCAATTTTTGTTAACATCAAGATGAAGATCGAAAAAGACACCACTTGTGAAATGATATGTAATACAGAAAGAAGATCAGTAGAGTTTTCTTGAGAAGGCGATGATTGAAGATCGTAATTTTCACGTTCTTTGTATAACGATAACTGTTCTTCATCTATACGTTGAATATATTCAACAAGTCGTGAATGTTGAATAAATAATGTTCGTAATCGAGATTTTTCTGACGTATAATGAACAAGTACAAGAAGATAAGAGCTAACCCAAGCATCAATAAGAGAGAATCTAAATAGATCAAAACCAGATAAATATATAATTGTTTTCATAATCATTGTTTGCTCTCGTACTTCTCGCCACCAATGAATGGTTGATTATTTTCGATTAATTTATTTTCAAGAATTGAGAAACATCGTTCAGCATCGTCATAAATCTATGAAATAATATTAAAAGATATCCGAAAATACCAAACAAAAAACAACAGTAAATATTTACTGCATTATGTTGCTCATTTGAATGTAAACATTTACTTGCAATTATTTCAAACCATGTTTGAGCTGATGAAAATTTTTTCCGAATATAAAATAAACTAGTTGGTAAACCAATGGTATGATGATATAAAGCTCGAACGGATGCTTTATTGGTTTCATCTAGCCATTGTAAATGCATCTGTAAGAAAAAATAGACTGAAATAAACGAAACAAATAAAAGAAATCGATAATACATACAAAAGCCGGTACAAATAGACGTTTAAATGTTGCTAGTAGAGCAAGTTCGTCAGCGGTTGGCTAAAAATAATTACTTTTTATTTTATTCGTTGATAGGAAAATAGAATACTAACGTGCAATGTTCGGCTATATTCATAAATTGATTCAAATCCAACGTAATGTTTTCTATTAGCAACGTCATGTAGCATTGGATAAGTGTCTGTAACAGTCAATAATGTGTTATTCAAAAAACAAAATAAAGTATTTTACCAAATATCATGGATATTTGTCGATTGGCATTCACAATTGAGTAGGAAAGTCCTTGAGCGCGAAGCCATAACTATATACCAAAACACAACTCAAATATATTTCAGCTAATTAGATAAATTAATGTTTACCGAAGCTGCTAAACAAGTAGGATCAATGGTCGTTAAATGACTACTATTAGGCCATACAGAAAGTACGAAATTTTCTCGTACTTGATTCTAAAAACATACAGTAATGTTTTGAAAATTAATTTAAAAAGTAAAAAATAACAAATTAATTTACCTTCGAACTTGTTGTTTCCATCTCGACTGTTCCTTAAATATATTTATTCGACGAATGAATAACGAAAGAAGAGGTTAACCGAAAGAAGACATCTATCTTATTTACAATTGATCGGTAGACTTCATCAATCATATTTTTTGTGGTGGAGAAAGAAATTCGATACGCTGACACTATCGATCATATAATCTATATCATTGTAAGAAAATAAAAAAATATGGCGGGATCGTTAAAAAATTTCAGGTCAATTTGTAAAAAAATTATTTGTATTGGACGCAACTATAGGTAGACGAAAAACGTTTTTAAGTTTAATCTTGTTTTTTGTTTTTTTTATAAATGTAACGCTACATCTTTTTAGCGAACATGCAAGTGAATTAGGCAATGTATAAAATATATAAATAGTTATTTTTATCAATTTATTGATGATCTTTCTATCTATCTAAGGTCGTGCCCAGTAAACCAATGATATTTATGAAACCTCCAAGCGCTTTCGTTCTAGAACCAAATAAAATAATAGTATAGAAAAAAAAGAGAGAATTGATTTTTTGCTAATTAAAAATCAAATTTATTTAATTAGATTCCGTCTGAATGGGATGAACTCCATCATGAAGTTGAATTAGGTGTTATAATTGATAAGCAATGTCGAAATATTGATAAAGATCTAGTCGAAGCAAATATTGGTGGATATTGTCTTGCGCTTGATATGACGGCACGAAAGGTTCAAGATCAACTAAAGAAACAAGGTCATCCATGGTTACTTGCAAAAGGTTTTGATACATCGTGTCCATGCGGAGATTTTATTGATAAGAGTAAAATTAATTTATCATCATCTGTTAATCTTTGGCTAAGTGTTAATGGAAAAATGAGACAAAATGGTCATACTCGTGATATGATTTTTTCGGTTCCCGATTTAGTTGCTTACATATCAAAATATATTACACTTGAACATGGAGATTTAATTTTAACTGGTACACCAGCTGGTGTCGGTCCAGTTAAACGAGGGGATCAAATTGAAGCAGGAATTAATGGTGATAATAATTTGAAATACACAATGAAATTTAATGTTGCTACTCAATAATAAAAAACTGATTATAATCTTTTATGATTAATCCTTCTTTCACGTAAAAGTTCAATAGATTAAAGAATGAGATGTAGTTTTGTTAGTGTCAAGTTTGTCACAACTAATGAAATTCTATGATGATTTTATTTTTATTGTAGATCAGTTATCAATAGAATAGGAGAGAAATGTCGAATCTTGTTGTAGGAAAATTAAAAACTCTTATTCGTGAATATCCTAAACCAGTTGGTATTGTTGTTGATTATGACACAACTGGTTTTCGTGCTCGAGCAGAAACACTCCCATGGATTATGATTCGAATAGGTCTTGTAGCTGCTCTTCGATCTAAAGTGAAACAAGGTTAATTTTGCTCTTAATGTAATAAAATTTTCATTCGAAACTCATAATCTTGATCGTAGGTTGTGTGGGTGTAATGATTACAGCTTCACATAATCCTGGACACGACAATGGTATTAAATTAGTTGATCCACGTGGTGAAATGCTTGATCAAGCATGGGAAGTTTATGCAAATAATCTATGTGCACTTGAGTTAGTTAAACTGATTAGAAAAAAAAATGAACAATATCATTTTCTTGATTTAAACTAGCGATGATGCTGAAGTGCTATGGACTTATCTTGAAACGCTCATGATTGAACTCAACATTCAACCAAATGATGACGCAATTATTGGTATTGCATATGATAATCGGTATGTAAAAGTCACATTTTTAAAACTACAAGAGAATAACTGGTGCAGTGAAAGTCTCTAAACATAATATTTGCTTCTTTTTCGAACACGAAAAGACGGGTCAGTTAGATTTAATAGTTATCAATAAGTTTTATCACGAATTCAAAGCTGTATCTATTGTACAGTAAAATAGTACCTTCTGTACAATAGTTTGTCTTGGAACAATTTCAATGTGTTTTATTCATTCTCAATCGATAAGTTCGTCTTTAAAAAGTCGAAAAATATTTAGTGTCAAGATTTACACTTCATAGATTATATATATGTCTGTAGGTGTTTAGAGAAAGTAGTCCATTGTTAGCCAGTATTGTCAAACGAGCTGCGCAAGCGTTACATACAGTCATAATGGATTTCGGTAGGAGAACGACTGTGAATTCTATTTTTATTATGTTTCATAAATAGAACTCATGACAACACCACAACTTCATTATGCTATTCATTGTTATAATCATGATGAATTTCATGGACGTTTCAATGAAATCAGTTACTTTGAGAAATTATGCACATCATTTCAAAATTTAGTTATGGTAAGGCAAGAGTAGTTTTTCCGTATTTTTTGACTGATTGAATTAATCTCTAGATAACACCTAGTAATAGATCATTAGAATCACTTGCGATTGATGCTGCAAATGGTGTTGGTGCTTTTAAATTAGCTCAAATACGGCGAATATTAAAAAAATTTATTCCACTTGATATTTATAATGATGGTAGAACAGGTCATTTAAATGAAAAAGTAAATGATAAAGAAAAATGGAGTCATTGAAAAAGTTTGTCGTTTAATATTTTTAGTGTGGTGCTGATTATGTTAAACACTATCAAATAGCGCCTGATGGTATACCATTAAATCATTATTCAAAATTTTGCTCAATTGATGGCGATGCTGATCGTTTAATCTATTTTTTTATTGATAAAAATAATCACTTTCGATTACTCGATGGTGATCGATTTTCGGTTTTATTCTTATCATTTCTTTCACTAAAACTAAAAGAAGCTCAATTATTTGATGGCGTTAAAATTGGTGTTGTACAAACAGCTTATTCTAATCAGAATTCAACAGATTATATTGTTAAAATAATGGTAAGATTATTTAATCGTAACAATGATAACACTAAATTTAGTTTATTTAGAAAGTTCCTGTAGTTTGTGTACGATCTGGTGTTAAATATTTACATCATAAAGCGCTTGATTATGATATTGGCATTTATTTTGAAGCAAATGGACATGGAACAGTATGAGATTTTTGTTTTTTAAGAAATAAAGTTCTCCAGTTGATAGATCTTCCTTGAAATTGAGGGTAGCTGCATTATTTTGATGAGAAAAAGTTATGAATATCATGATTCTTAGAATTTGACGTAGGGGTATACTTTAAAAAAATACTTTAATGTGAATGGTTTTTTATGTCCTTATATTTCGTAATATGAAAATTAAACCTACTAGTTTATCTAAGCGATATGAAAGATAAGTTATAAATAAAATTGTGTTATATGATACGAGTAGTAACAAGATCTGAAATGTTTACAATAAACAGTCGATCTATCAGTGGAATTACTGACGTTCCTTCATGAACGATTTTGCTGACTATGGAATTTTGTTGTTTAGGTACTTTTTAATGATGATTTAAAGATAAAAGTAAAAGCAGCAAGTGTAGATCAACAGTAAGTTAATGGCATAGAATAATTTATTTAGAAGTATGTTTCGTTTCGAATAAAATCTAGGCGTACTGAACAACAACGTTTAGCTGCAAAACAAATTCATACATTTATTGATTTAATTAATGAAACTGTTGGTGATGCAATAGCTAATTTACTTGCGACAGAAGTTATTCTTTTCATATTAAATATGAATCTTGACCAATGGCTAGCTTTATATGATGATCTACCACAACGTCTATTAAAAGTAACTGTTCGAAATCGAACTATGATACAAACAACAGATGCTGAACGTCGATGTACAGCTCCAGCACATTTGCAAGATCGTATAGATGAACTTGTTTCTAAATATCCATCAGGTCGTGCATTTGTTCGGTAAGACAATAAGTATGCTAAAATTTTTATCGAGTGTTTGTGTTCTTCTTTTTGTTTTTTATTAAGACCATCCCGTACAGAAGATATTGTACGTGTTTATGCTGAAGCTGCAACACAAATTGCAGCTGATGGATTGGCTGATGAAGTACAAAAAGTAGTAGAAGAATTAACAAAATGAAGGACAACCAAAAGAACAAGTCTTTACATTCCGATGAAAATTATTTATTGACATTCAATTAGAGTTTCATTACCTTTTCTTGTAATATATTCGTTAGGATTTTTAATCAATTAGTAGATAAATATCTCATACACGGATAATTTCACAAAATAAAAATACGATATTTATTCACTTGTAGTTCATTCTGTATCAAAGATTTCTACTGTACAAATATAGTAATGATAACTAGCGAGAAAAAAAAGAATGATATGTCACTAACTGAAAATGATAACATTATATTAAGATATGTGATGAAATGACGACGATGAAGATAAACTAAAATATCATTTGACTATGAAAGAAAACCAAACGTAAAAGTGTTTCTTTTTACTGCTTGATTCAGCTGGCTACTTAGTAGAAAAGAAATGGGTTTGGATGAACGTCCGTCGTGTTTGCGTAGCTTTCCTCATGAAGTAGTCTTCGTTAGTGTTTTATCTTGTGCTCAATTACTTACTCAAGCAGCACTAGGCAATGTACTCGTTCCACTTCATATTATTGGTCCTGATATCGGTATTACAAATCCTGCTGCATTGCCTTGGACATTAGCAGCGTATTCTTTGACAGTGGGTGTTTTTATAATGGTTACAGGACGAGTAGGCGATATTTTTGGACATAAACGATTAGTTATAGTCGGATATTTGATGTTTTCTATATTCAGTTTTTTAACTGGATTGGCTGCATATGTGAATAATGGTATTTATTTTCACATTATGCGTGCATTCCAAGGAATAGGTCCAACAATGCTTTTACCTAATGCAGTTGCACTACTTGCTCGAACATATCCAGCTGGTTTGCGAAAATCTATTGTTTTTTCAATATTCGGAGCAACAGCACCTACCGGATTTATTCTAGGTGCTCTATTTGGAAGTATATTTGCTCAATTTTTATGGTGGCCTTGGGCACAATGGGCATTATCAATTTTTTGTTATATTCTTGCTATTTTAACGTATGTTATAGTTCCAACTGAACTATCATTAGCCGTTCATCCGACTGGTAAAACTGATATATTTGGAGCCATCATTGGAGTATCAGGTTTAGTTCTATTTATATTCTGTTGGAATCAAGCACCTCTTGTAGGCTGGGATAAACCGTATATGTACGGTATATTAATTGCTAGTATTGTCATAATTGCACTGTTTATTGTGATTGAAATGAAAACACAAGAACCGATCATGCCATTGTCTATTTGGTCTGTACCTGGATTTCCAGGTGTTCTTGGATGTATGTCTTTGGGTTGGTCAAGTTTTGGTATATTTATTTATTATAATGTTCAATTTCTTGAAATTATCCATCATGCATCACCATTGTTAACGACAGCTATGTTGACACCGCTCGTCGTTTTCGGCATTATAGCGACAATCGTTGTTTCTCAACTCTACGGTCGTACGCCGGCCCATTATCTTCTTATGGCATCGATGATTTTCTTTTGCGCTGGTAATATTCTTATCGCTACAGCACCTGCTAATCAAACTTATTGGGCACAAGTATTTGTTGCTACAATGTTGACTCCGTTTGGTATGGATATAAGTTTTCCTGCTGCATCCTTAGTTATTAGCAATAAAATGCCTATGCATCAGCAAGGTGTAGCAGCAAGTATGCTGAATACAGCAATCAACTGGTCTATTTCATTAGGTTTGGGTATTGCAGGAACCATTGAAAGTAAAATGCTTAAAAGAGGAAAGACGACATTGGAATCTTATCGATATGCGTTATACACTGGTATTGGACTCAGTGGTTTAGGAGTTCTCGTAGCATTGTTATTCTGTCGTGTACCTAAAACAGTTAATCCAAATGATGAAGAACAAACACAAGTAGATAGTTCATCTATTACTACGATGGATACAGCAATCAATGCAGATAAAATTGATAATGAAGAAAAATAATGTTACAATTTGACGATCGTATGAATAGTAGAGAGAACTATTAAAGATACTAAATGTAGATTTATGTTAAATAGACACCATCAGAGGAAAAGGCGTAAAAATAAAAGGGCATCCCATGTTGCGAATACCGGATCATTTTTTGCGGTAAACCGCGGTATTTATCCGTTCTGCGGTAATGGGAGCCGGTAACCGGATCGGTAAAACCGCGGTTAACCGCCGATTTTCATGCGGTTTTTATTACATGGGATAGCAAGATTCATATTAATTGATGTCTTTTGTTTCTTTACATAACAACAATGAAACTATCTAATATGTTTTAATTTTCATATATGCTTATCCCTAGTATTCAGAAGAGATAAGATCAGAATATTTATTTAATCTTGAAATCATGAACTGTTCTATTTCGAACACTCAAGCAAATATCGAACTGACTAACAGAACATTATTTTATGTGTCCTATGTTTCATTTGCATATAATAAAATGATGCTCATAATGATTCATCAGAAAGAAAATCATCATATATAACCGATTTCGGCGGCGACTCAGCCACACGCTCTCTGTCGAAATGAAACAAAGTGATCAGCAAGTGAAAAATACCTTGAAAGTATTTATAGTTTGAAGAAGGATATTTGAATGATTAGGATCCTTAATTAATCAACTTTTTGATTCTAGAGAAAATAACTGGTTTAAGTTAGGTGTGTGATTAATGTTTTGTGGTTTCCCTAGTTCGACCTGATATATGATGAATTGAGGAAATTCAGCTATTCACATTTTCGTTTTGTGACTGCGTAATGCACTCTTTCAGATGTGTGCAAGTTGATGATAGTGATGCTGATAGATGTGTTATGTGTATATTTAAGGTATTATCTGGAATAGGCAATAACAGTCTTTTTTTTTACATATTGTGGCTTTTGTGGAAACGGGGTACTTGGGAACCTTGCCATATTCAGATAAAACATTGTAAGGAGCTCATTAAAGGTACAAATAAACCAAAAATCAAGACGTCCTATAACTGTTGATGCTCGTTGTTTGAAAATTCTTTTGGTTTTAATATTACAAATTTTTAAGAAAGTAAAAATTGAATCATGCAACATTTGAATGGAACAGCATGATCAGAGGAACGAAACACATCAATAATTGAGAACGTTAGCCGCTCAGTTGCAAAAGCTATTGTAATTAAGACTAGACACTTTGGCAACACTTAGAATAGTTACACGTTGTCTAAATTAGAAAAGTTGAAACGATCATCAAAAATGGTGTCAATCTGCTATAGCTTTTCCATGCTTCTGTTATGTTTTTTAGAAGCATTTCTGAAATTGTTTTGTCATCCATAGCGGGTGAGTGTTTCAGCATTGTTAATTAAAGAAATAAAATAATTAATTAAATCTACAATCTCAAGAAATATCTTTTAGCTTAAAAATATGAAATTTGATAATTTGTTTTATTTCATTCGTTAAAATATGATTCTATTACATACAACAAATATATTTAAATTTAATAGATAAAGATATAATAGAATAACTTTACTTAACTGATCTATTGATTGCCCAGGTGAATCAATCCGATACCGAACCCCATCGGATTCTATGGGGTCCTACCATCCGACGAAATCCTGTTGGATTCCTGGTTGAGGAATCAATGTCGGATTCGACAGTCGTATTTCCAATGATATCCGATTGTCGGAACCAATGAAATCCGAAGCATTCCGGTTCCGATTGACGGTTGCTGTCGGATTTTATCAGTTTTCGATATTAGGATCCGATATCGATTCCGGAACCAGAAATCCGACGATAATCCGATAGTTTCCTTGCGCCTTCCGAAGCGCTCCGTCGGATTCCAATAGGAACCGATCGGAACTCATCGGATGCTAGGCTAGGATTCATTCTCCTGGGTGCATGATCATTGATCGATTTGATGATAATAACTTTTATTTAAAGACGTGATACTTAGTGTGAAATCAATTGTGCATTAAATAGTAGTGAAAGCAAAGATTATATATCAAATACCAATTGTTCGGCAACGAATGATATCATATGAACAGAGAACACAATGAATGGTATCTGATGCAGATAGAATATAGTGCTTGATGCCTTCCATCAGTTGATATACATATGTTAAAACTATTCCTTTTCTTTTCTCTTTTCAATTCTGTATGTCCTTGATCTGGTGCAATATATACTACATATCAGGGTTGCCAGCTGTTCAGGTCCCAAATGGGGTACACTGATTTCGGAATGGGGTGCACGTTAGGTACGACTCAGTTGTAAATGGGGTACATTTGTGAGGTACGCAGTTTACATCTTTCACACTGGTCATCGGCTGCGGAAATCAATTTCGAAAGCTATTTACAATCAGGAAAGGGCATTCTCAGTTTTTCATTTTACTATCAAGTCTAGCTTTCAAATTGAAATCTTTATTTTCTAATAAATATGTTCACAATAAAATTTCATTTTGACATACACATTTTCAATTCAATCATAATAAAACAATGCTGACTCAAAGCGAACCTTCTAGATTTATATTTACACTAACTGTTGCGCGCTTTTTTCAAAACTGTATTTTTGTTGACTTTTGGCACACTCTATCAGTTGCGGTTAAGTTTGAGCAAAAGAAAAAAATCTTCACATATCATAGTACTATTAAATTTGATTTTCAATTCAGCAGCTATCGTTTAATTCCCCGTCAAATTGCGACTGGCTGTCCCCAGGTCGTTCCTGCCCGGCCGTAAACGGCTGTACACCAATCATTTACGTTGAAAAACGACATTCGCTTACAGTGGCCGTTAACGGCAGTCATATACGACGTTTTACGGCGAATTACGTTAATCGTAAACAATGACCGTAAACTTTCGCCTTTTACGGCTATCGTAAAATACGGAGAAAGTATATCTTATTGCACATTATTTCATCATTAAAATTTTCTTTTCTACACAATTTCAAAGTCAATATCAATCGTTTCTCAAGAATTTTTATGTCGAGATCACCGTCTATGTTTTAGTTGCTTGTTTCTTCGGCCTTTCTCTCAATATCTGTCGTTTCATTGCATAGATGTTATGTGATCTTTCTTGACAAAACATAACGATGTACGTATGTATCCTTACACATATCTTGACAATGCATACTTTTCTCAGACTTTTTTTTCTCTTTTCAACGAATTCTAAGCCTATTGTTAACGATTTTTTTCGATAATGAAAATATGTTAGTTCAACATTGACGAGATTATACTACATATCAAATGGCTTAACCCCGTTTCCAAGTGGACAGAAAACGTCAGATTCACAATACACATGTGTGTGCCGTCTACCTAGATCATATCCAGATCTATACATTTCTATTATTATAACATGTAGTGAAATTTCCTTCTAACAAAAAGTCCTGAGGCCATCAAAGGACTGTCTTTTTCACAAGAATTTCAGATTTTATTTTAAATTGGAAAAATCTCGAATGTAAAAGAAATAGTGTACAAATGAAATTCAACTGATTCCGCTATAAGAAAAATATATTCTTTCTTCTTCTTCTCAATGTCATCCTTCAATGTTTTTCGAAAATGCACACAACAATGAATGACTATCATCGAACAATACATCAATGTTTTACGTTTGTGAAAAAGTTGACCTATTCAATTTGACAATGGCGCAAAACGCTCAAACAGAATGAAAACAAAATAAAACGAATTAAGACTAAGACCCCAAACAGACCAAAAAAATAAAACAGAATTAAGCAACGTGATTGGTTAATTCACACTTAAGTCATCTTTTTGAGACGATTTAGTGGTTAATTCTGTTTTATCTTTTTGGTCTGTTTGGGGTCTAAATTGACGAATAAATTGCCTAAAAAAGATGATTTAACTTGGAATAGACCAATCACGTTGGTTATTTCATTTTCTTTTTTTCCGGCCGTTTTGAGGTCAAAATGGTGAGATACAAACAATGAACAATATGTGTATATAATATAGCTCTGTCGTAGTGAAAAGCATCACAGTCATAATAGAATATGAACCGATCAAATGTTCATCTTCTCGATTTACCTGATGAAATATTACTTATGATTTTGAAGAAGTTGAACAATATTGATGTACTTTATTCTTTATTGGATGTTAATAATGGACGACTTAACATTCTTGCACAAGAAAACACTTTCACCAACATTCTGAAGTTTCCCCGCCGTTATACTTATTCTTTAATCGATCGATTCTGCATCGATATATTACCAAGAATTCATCATAATGTGAAATGTTTTATTTTTCATCCATTTTGTATGAAACGTATTCTTCTTGCCACTGACTATCCGAATCTAACTGAACTTAAAATTTTTCATTTCAAACAAGGCATCACTTTAGATTATCTTACAAGTAACCATTTAATATGAATTTGATTAGTTGAGAAATAATAAAAGTTTTAAATAGAATAAACTACAATATGTTTCATTTCATTCTTTTCTCCTTTAGATGTATCATCACTTCGATCTAGTTTTCAAGAACAAATTACAAACCTTACTCTTATCAATGATGATAAAGACGAAATGGTACATTCATTGGAAAATTATACTACAAACGTATATAGTCACATATTGATCTTCTTCAAAAATTTAAAAGAATTAAGTATCACGGGACCATATCCTATATCAATGTATCCAGGTTTATCACTTCGTTATTTGCCATCGACTACTTTTTCATCTACGACTCTTACTCATTTATATATCAATGTGAAAACTTTTGATGATTGTCTTTATTTACTTGATGGTCGACTTAGAAAATTGACAACATTGTGTGTTAATATCTATTCTATAGACGAGTATTCAACAATTGTTCACAATATGGTAAGTTTTTACAAATAATTTTATTTATGACATAAAGATTATTATAATTATTTTAATACAGTTAACGATTGATCTCCAAATAAGAGATCGAATGGTTAAGTTTCATGTTGACAAGGGGAAACAAACTGATAAGTGTTGATGAACATATCAAAATCATCGACATTAAATTTGTATTTACTAGAAATTTGAATTTAATAAAAGAATCAATAAAATTTGTTGCTAGAAATTATAATTATATATAATATTTTATCGGATAAGTTTCACATTGAAAAGTAGACTGCTCTCTTTCATGATATGATTAAATATTATCATATGTCAATGATCATCAGCATAGAATCGAATGAAAGTTTTTCTAGAATAATAATTTTTCCAATAATTAAGATATGATTGGAAGTTTGTCTCAAACTTTAATTGTTCTTTGAACACTTGTTTGTTATGCTGTAAAATGAGAAAATCAAACTAATAGATTTGTCATTTGTGGCCATTGACAGACAGAATATAGATCATACACTATGTGTAAAATAATGATGCCTATGACTTTATCTTGTAGATTATAAAAAAAACATTTTCTTTCTTTTTGTAGGATAAATTATTTAATCTAAAATGTTTCTCATTAAAATCGTTCTTTCAATTTAAACAATATGATAAAATTCTATCACTTGTTCGTCGTATGTCAAATCTGGAAAAATTAACTTTATATCTTCCTATAAAAGGTCGAAATAGAGTTATTGATGGTACTTATGTTCAACATGATATTTTGGATTATATGCCACAACTTCATTCATTCATTTTCTATATTTGTACTTATGTCGAAACGGTTGATTTATTCTACAAGTTATCTAATGAAGATATTCAACAAACATTAACAAATATTGGACAACAACATGTCACAAGTATAGTCAATTATATTCATAGTCACAGAGCTGCATGCTCAATTTTCTCACTTCCTTTTCAATTTGATTATCTGAAAAATCTTGGCAATAAATTTCCAAATATTATATTCAGTTATGTTACGTATTTACTTGTGCAAGATACGGATCCATTCGAACATGAATTCTTCATGCGAATTGCCAGATCGTTTCCGTTACTGAAGCATTTACGTATTTTTAATGTAGAATCACAGGTATTAGATGGTCTTATCACATTTTCATCTGACAATTGTCAATTACACTCAATTATTGAATATCCTCATCTGACTATACTTGATGTTCAATATGCACATAGAGATTATGTTGAACAGTTTCTAAATGAAACAAACACATTCATACCTTGTCTGGCGGAATTTGAAGTCTCTGTTAATCATTTAAAAGCTGTAACAAAAGACTTTACAAGAGAAGAAACACAACGCAATTGTGCTAAGGTGAAACGAATATTTCCTCTAGGATCATTGGTATATTCGAAAAAATTTTTCCTTTATTTTCCTTCGTTGTATAAGTAGATGTATTGTCATTTTGATTTATTCAATAAACTGAAAAACATGATAAATATTGTATTTATAGGCTAATGATATTTTTCAAATATAAACAAATAATCACCTATTAATGATCGTTTCTCATTTTATAAAAAAAAATCACACAACATTTTGTGATGCTGCAGAGTTATATGTAAAATGAAAATGCTCCTTCCGCAATTGTTTGAAGACATACAAAAAAGATTTGATTTGATTTTAAATGTAAAAATAGTTCTTACTTTTTCAATCTAACTCAAATTAAAGAATAAATCAACATTAATTTCTGATTGCGTTCGATCTAAAGTTGTAAAACAATTTCAATAATTGGATTTTATGTATGCGCAATATGAAGTTGTTATTCGTCTCAGTTAACATAAACTACCTTTCTTGGAATCAGACTCATCTTATGGTTTCGAACGAAACGAAATTACTTCAAAATATACTAGCAGAAAAAGAACATCTATAACTTGCTGCACGTTTTGTAATATACTATTAGGTGGACGAATGTCACAATATTTCATATTTCTATTAATTATCTTATGTCATTGTTATATTCTATCTAAGAGAATTCATTCAAATGTAATAGAACATATAATTATTACAAACTTTCATTACACTTTTTCTATCGAAATATTTTCAATTTAGACTTGAACAAATCTCTAGATTTGTATCAAACTAACCACGCTCTGTGCTTCTAACATTTTGTATAATATTCACTTTTTCAGTTTAACTAAATAAAAAAACAATGATAAGATTATATTTAATGAAATCTTTGATAATTTGTGAGTAGACTTCTGATGTCTAATTCATATGTTTTATTTTATTCTAAATGTAATATTGTGTGTTATAAGAACCACGATACATGAGAAATTTTTTGTTTGACAAGAGAATAAGACGATGATCGATGCATCATCACTAAGAAATTATAGCAGAAATTATTAGACAAACAGAAAAATACCTTTTCATATATTCAGTGGACAAACAGATTTAACTAATTCAAAATGAATTAAGATACATAATTGACACTTTTCTACCTAACAATGCCAATTTCTTTGGTTAGTTCACTTTGAATTAGTCTTGTCTGTTTATTACTTTGATCATAGAACAATATGATGGCATCGATATTTATTTGTCATTGTTTTGGTAGACACGGCAATGAGAAAATACATATAGATTGACATGAATATATTGTATGAATTAGACATGAACAATTTAAATAACAATTATCTCAATATACTTGATATATCGGATGAAATTTTATCTATCATTTTTCATAAACTCAATATGGTTGATGTTCTTTATTCAATTGTGGATGTCAATCGACGATTTGATCGATTCACACTTGATTATCTTTATATTCGTGATCTTGATATAACTATTATCATGACTATCAATTCATTGTACGATCATAGTTCTTTAGTAGATAATCAAGTTTTTTTTTTAATATTTACTTTAAAAATGAAAATAAAAATAAAAAATGTCCATTATTCTGTTGGAAAACCTTGAAAATCTCGTTGTAATTTTGTAGCAAATATTTCATATTCACTTATATCTTTATCACTAACTGATCGTCGAGCAAATTTCATAGCTTCATCAAAATGATCACGACGAATTTCTGGTACTGGAGCTGGCTCACCAGAATCCATTGTTGTTGAACAGATATGTTGTTGTTTTTTTTTCAATGAATTCTCTTGTAGCTAATATACAAGCTCGTTGACAAATTTTTGTTAAATCAGCACCACTAAAACCTTCGGTTACAATAGTCAAGTAATCCATATCAACATCTTTAGCTACAGATAATTTTCTTAAAGAAGTTTTTAGAATAGCCACTCGTGATTCGTCATTAGGTAATGGAATATAAATTAATTGATCAAGACGACCTAAATAAATAAAATAATATTTCATTCAGGAAGACAGTGTAATTTTTTAGATATTCAATTCACTAGAAATTACTCATTGACATTGTATGAACAGTGTTTTATCTAGTGAGGCGTGACACTCCTCCGGAAATTCCATAGGGAATCCCCGGTGATTCTGCGAGGGAGATTCGATTAGGGGAACAGTTTCATTTCGAAAAGAAATGATTTTCACTGTTTTAAGGTGGTTTTTTCCTTTGTTTGCATGCGCTTTTGCTCGTAGGTATTCCAAAAAAAACAAAAAGAAAAACAAGATAAGAAGAGTAAACTATAAATATCTTCCAAAAGTAATAAACGAATCATTCAACAAAAAACAGTATCATATACACAGCTCAACCTGAAATTAACTATAATATACTATTAAACGTTTTCCGAATAGGTGCTTAAAGGTCGACAGACAAAACGTCGAAAAACAAGATATCGAAAAGCACATCGCATAAATAAAAGAATGTCGAAAAGCTATTACTTAAACATTTGAAAACCGACTAGTCTGGTAACAGGACTTTTTGAGCATAAGACTAGACCGGATATGATGACACGACTAAAAAAGGGACTAGTCTTTTTATCCGTCCTTTGCTCTTCTGGGCGAGCACTCGTCGCGTCAATCGTACGCGTTTTATACTTGCTCGGGTTAACAAGGCAAAAAAATAAAAACAATGATGTAATTATTGGCTGTAAAAAAGGATTTAACATTAGTAAGATATAGTTATTGCGATTAGAAATCTCATGTACTATTATATGTTCCTACATAATTATTCAAGTTCGATTTTCTGCAAAATAGAATTTAGATACGCTTGAGAGAGCGATATGCTATATGTGATTGATCATACAATTACTATTATAGATCTCGAAGCGTTCTGCTACAATTTCGAAAAATCCAAAGAAACCCTGGAATTCTTTTTGTTGAATCTGCCAATATTCATTCCAAGAAATATTTCAACTCTCACACTCGTATATCAAACAGATCTCAACAAATTTCATCGAATTGTAAAATCAGATTTTTCGTCTCCCAGATAATGGTCCCAAAAATCTCAAAATATTATATTTTTCTATGAAATTCTAACACCAAATTCGTTAAAGGCCTTGTTATAAGCGTTCCACTCATGATATAAACATAAATCTAGGAGATCTATTTAATGATGTCCGCAGATTTTTCATAGCTCATAGTAGGATTTTTTAGGTTTCTTTGGCATTATTCTATCAGTGCTGAAGTCTGATTTCAAGCTG